AAGACGTTGAAAAGATGTCTTTTGAACATAATTTTGCTTAGTGGGTTTATTAATATTGTGATGATATGGGGTGATTACGTTTGCTCTTGAAAGATATTTAAACTCTGTAGCTTAATTAACAGTAATGTGATGACCAATCAGGTACAGGCAAGGACAATTGCATTTGTTTTATTGTAATGCATCCTTTGAACCAGAAAAATACAACACTCATGCTAGAGTAGATCATGATATTTTAGTACCCACACTCTATGGCATTGTCATGGTAGACTTCACTCTGGTCACATGTTCTAGTCACAGTGTCCATCTTGTATCCACCACCTTTAGCAACAAAAGTACAATTTGGACTTTGTGTCTTATCTCTTCTACCTGTCTGCTAATATTCATCTCATTTCCTATTTGTCTGACCAAACTCTTGTTTCTTTTTTGTCTCCACCAATAGAGTCGGGCTGAAACAGAGGTGCACGCTGAGCTTGGCAGTTGCCCAGTGAAAATTTACATGTGCCATCACCCCGACACGATTGGGATTATCATATAAGGACAGCCCGTGGTCAGAGGTGTGCCAAACCTGTCGAAAGCATGCTGCCTCCTGTTTGAACTTACCTATGCTCTCGACCTCAAGTATCCCTCAAAACTGCTGTATACTTGAGATATATCAGAGGCTTTTTGTAGGATTGGACCCTGTGCGTCCTAAACCATCATCATGTCATTTTTGACATTGCAGTTCCAGTGTGATACAATGTGATGTTATGGCTCACATTTACCTTGATCCAAACATTTCAGATTGGGCAGTTTGGATATTTCACTGTACTGTTCAGAACAGGTTGAAAATACACTTCTACAGTGTTTGTTTTATATTAGAGTGTACATGTGCGGCCACATTTATTTGCTGTTTTGTAGTCACTGTTAAAAGTGACACTGGTTGACATTGAATAAATTATATATTGTTTTCAATCTATCTTCTCATCTTTTTCTTCTTCAATTGAATTTGTAATTGTTATTGACAATTAAAAAAATATATTAAAATGTTTATTCACATATGATTAAGTTAATTTTACTAAGAAAACAAAGTTCATAAAACCTAATTAAAATGAGTACAGGTTACTTGTAGCAACTCATAAATAAGTTACCTGTACCAATAAAAGTAGGTTTATCTAACTGAGTAATACTAGTACTATTAGTTAACTCAACTTGATTTTGTTGCGTTTGTATAAAGTAATGTTAAAGTGTTCAATATACTTAAAAAAGGCTACAAGTTGAATCAACATAAAACATCCAATGCAGCCACTTGCCTCACTTTTTATAAGTTAGATCTAGGTATTACTTTTTACAGTGGTAGAGTGAAATAAATTACCTGTGTTTTTCCTGTTTTAAATGTTGCTAAGCCATGACCAGGAGCACAAGTAACATTATCTAGATGGTCATTCAAGTGGAAGTGCACAGATTGTCTGGCCTGTATTCACTCAGCTGTGAATAACACTCTCTGTGCTAGACTGCGACGAGCAGTGATCTACTTCTGACTGCCAGCACAGGAGACTGCATGGGGCTTGGGTCACTGTTGCCAATTAAAATATGTTCCTGGAACAACATTCCTGTCTGAAAATGTAGTCCTAACCCTATCCCTAATAACACTGATGTAGAAGCACCTAATCCTGGTTCTACTGTAAGCCTAAACTTAACAAACTTAAACTTTCTCTCAAATCTGATTGGACGCTTTTCCACTGTCGGGCCAAACGGTTCTAAGAACGGCAAGGAACGGGTTATTTCCACTAGAGCTTGGATCAGCAAAGCACGATTACAAACTGTTCTTGGCCCGGAATTCTCAGCACGGTTGGCCACTCAGGATCGGTCTCTTGTCTGTTGTGTGGCTACCAGTTTCTCTGTAGCTAGCACACTATTTGTGCGAAGTAAACACAAGTTAATTATAAAATTAAAAGAAATATCTGATCATTCATAATGTGGTCACTATTTTAAATACATCCCATAGTGTCTGTAAACTCTTGCAATACCAAGGCAACGACTGACGCATTTGTTTTACATTCCAAAGAGCGGCCGTTATCACAGCCCCACAGTGGAAAACGATCCAGTGGTCGGATCGGCATGGAATGGAACGGTTAAGCAACAAGAACGGTTCGGCCTGACGGTGGAAAAGTGACTAAAGATGTTGATCCAGGAGCGGGTTGCATCCTAAGGCTAGCTGGCTAGTTGTATAACTAAAAGGTTCCGAGTCAAAGGTCCAATTACACAAATGCGTGCGTCTCTAGTAGTTTTATGTGTTGGTTTCAAGACTGTCCTGGATTAGGGTATGTTTACATGACACCGTTTTCAACTACAAATTGAAAACTTGTGCGTTTTGGCCGTTCACTTACACACAACAATGTTTTGGGGCCTGAAAATGCAAACTTTTGAAAACGAGATTCTAAGTGCAAGTTTTTGAAACCGATACCGTTATTGTCTCTGTGTAAACTACAAACTGTGACGTCATGCGCATGCGTATTACGTGTTCAATCTATAGGCGCATAGTGTTTAATAACAAAGTGACATCGCCAACTACTGGCCTGGCATGAATTATACAGCGTTTGTAGTCGTGTTGTCGTTTCAGTACATCGTTGTCATGTACACGTACCCGTAAAAGCCCGATTTTGCTGAAAGTCCTATAACTGTTAGTGACAACATGCCCCACTTTTAGGCAGTGGTTCTGAACCAGAGGGCCGGGATCCATTAGAGGGCTTCAGAAACCTTCCCAGGGGCTTCAATAAGTAACAATTTAAATGTAGCTATTTTAACATTATCATGTTCAAAATACTAAAGAAATAGCCTATTTATGGCTGGAAATTACACAAAAAGGTGACAAAGAAAGATTAACCAAGAATATAGCTTCATTCTTTTTTTTAAACATTTTGACAAAATATTCCATGTCCACAATTATTCAAACCCTTTAGCAATAAGCAATGGCAAATCCTTTATTTTTCATCACCGCTGTATAATTGGTTATACGTTTTTTTTCACATTTCCACTGGGATTTAGGACCACTCCTCTTTTGCAATATTCCCTATACTGTTCAAAGTTCCCTTCGAAGTTTGAACTGAACATGTTCACTCCCTTCGGACTGGAATCTCATTTAAGATGGTGGAATACCCAGTGAAGTCCACTTCGCAGTCCACTTACGCTCGAATTGAACGCACCATTGGTCTTCTTTCTTGCACCTATTTGTATATTGAATTGTAATTAGTCATTTCTTTCCTGCATGATGACAGCAAAGCAACTATGATGCAGCATTTCATTAACATAGCCAAAGCATAAAACCTCACTTAAAGGGGTCATATAATGGTATGCACTTTTACAAGTTGATTGTACTGAAATGTGTGTTGGCAGTGCCTGTACACAACCATCATAAAATGATAAAAATCCATCCAGTGTTTTAGTTTTAATCTCCTTATATGTTTTCCCCTGCCTCAAATCAAGCCGTTCGACCGTGTGACGTCACACGCTCGGAAGCCCCTCCCACGATTGTTGATTGACAGGAGCGTTTCAACACAGACCCACCCTCGCTCGTGAAGGAGCTGTCAATCATAATCTGCGCGGACCGGTGCGGTCAATGTTGATATGCTGGAGCACTGTCTATGAGCAGAATGGCGTCTAAGCGATTGTGGTGTTCTGTTCTTGGGTGTAATAACGAACCCAGCAGTCATTTTAATGTTCCTAAATCCGAACCGCTGAAGACGCAGTGGCTGAGTTTTGTTTTCGAAGGGAATATTCCCCACGAGCAACGTCAATGCTCTCATGTTTGCGCGAATCATTTCACACACCAGACTGCTTTATAAACGAGGATCAGTATAAAGCTGGATTTGCTAAGAAGCTGCTCATGAAAAAAGGATCGGTACCAGATATTCGTGTTCCTGCTGAATCTCCAGAAGAACGGAAGTGAGTGTAACGTTTTATTAAACTTTATATTAATATATTAATCTTTGCAAATCGCTTGCACGCTTCACAATGAATGCGTCTAAGGTTTACACTCAGGGTACATTACGGCATGTTTTCTATGTATGACGTTCTCAATATAATTCATAATCCCACGTTTATACTGAACAACGCGTTATGGTTATTGTGTTATTGAGTTACAAACGGTGTACGCACAGAACAGAGAGGCGGGGTGAGCAAAGCTCATTATCATTTAAAGTCATATGCACTGAAACGGCGTGCTGAAAACAGCTGTTTTTGACCAGGTAAAATAAGTGTTTTCTTACAATACTAATGAGAATTTTTAATTAAAGTATATTACAAACTTTTAATTTAGACCCTAAAGAATCATATTAGCTTGTACAAAAATGGCATTATATGACCCCTTTAAAACCTATAACACTATTATTTTGCTGTATTGCAAGCACAATTTTGAGTAAAACAATAAAAAAAAACAGAAACAAATGCACGTGACGCTGTATCCCTCAGGGTCTAGGTGACAGAAAGTACCAACAAACCTATATGACCTATTTTTATATAACCCATTTATTTCTTAGTAACCTGGAGGTGTTGTGTAAAATTTTAATTTTAGTCACAAGCTCAAATTCAACCATTGTTGACCACTTTATATATATTTTTTTTTAATACTTTGAGCCTTTAAAACAGTTATTAGCCCAAACTGGAGCAAACGCAGCCTTGTCATTGTGCTAATCACCAAATTGCCTTACCAATTTAAAAAAAAAAAAAACACTAATTGTGTGTGTTGGTACTTGTTTTTATTCATATATTCATTAAGCTGCAAAAACAGCTGCTTCCTGTCACATCTGGGACAGAAACATACTCTGTTTAAGAAAAACCATCATATACAGTTGCTTACTAGTACAAAAGGTTGCAAACAGGCACATATGCAAAGCACACACATGATCTGCTACTGTGGCAATTCTACATCACATTCAATTTGATAGTGGACTATTTATTCATTTAAACACATCATGGTTCCTGTCTATAATCCCCATATACATTACAACATGTTAAAAACTATAAATACTATTTATTATTAATGATTTCCAATCATCATTGTGCTCGTAGTTAAAATAGGGTGAAATGATCCGCTCATTCATTCAGTGGAGGTTCCCCTGCTACGAAATTCTCTTCTGTTCAGTTCACACAATGCGATACGCCCCCAATTTCGCCCCCGATTTCTGTGTAACAGTACTCCCGAGGTCATACAGGATAATGGCAGCCTGGGAAATTTCAAATGAAAGGTTTTCTGGGACAGACAACAAGGGCTAGACATACCCGTATAACAGTTCATCGTGTTCTGACCCTCACCAGATATTCCATCTAAAAAGTGATTGTTTTGTATATGTATTATAAGTGCAGTCATAATACAATTACATTAACTTTGTGCCTCATACATAGCAGAGCATGGTAACAAAACCTATATAAAAATAAAAAATAAAAATGAGTCCCATGTGTCGCAGTCAAATCATATTAAGATGTGCAAATAATTTCCAGACGATCACACAATTCTCATCACAGTTTCACGTCACTGCAGTTAGTCAAAATGGCATCCTGACTTTTCCCAAAAACATCATCTGTTATAAATCACTAGGCACAATAGTAACTGAACGTTCTTCCGCATTTTCCTGCTGATTTTGTTCGTCCCAGCTAGTTGCCGGCAGTGGCGGTATGTACATCCGTAATAGAAGAAAAGGTCCCGGGCTCAGTACATCCATACTGATGAGTTCTATGGATTGCGCTAAGGAGGTTAAAGGTCACCGCTTTGGGGTTCAGGGTTCCGGGAATCCCGGCCCGAGTTACGGCCTAGTCTGGGGAAGCGGCTGGAGGCTTTGGATCGGGCAGTTTTGGCTCCACTCTCATTGGCCGTCGGGCTGTCCCTGTTAGAGAACAAACGCAAACACGGGTAAACCCCCAGGGCACTTTGCTCTTTCTTCTCCTGCCTGACTCAGGGTGTTCATTTGAGTTGTAATACCCTTGGAAAACCGATAGCTCCCACCAGGCACCTAAATGCTTAAACGGAGCAGAGGAAACCACAGCTCAGACATGTCCTCTGTGCATTTACAGTGACTAAACGCTCCTGCTTGTCAGAGTCCCCGCTGAAGGTAAATAAACAATGAAACAAGCTCTTCGCGATTACGTTGTTTCCTTATATCCTCACGGGCCGCGCACTGACATCACCGGTAACTCAAGGCTAACAAACTGAAATTGAAAGATGCCTGCGAGTTGAGCGCTGAGCGGAAAGCCCCTGAGGCTGAGTGTGTGTGTCAGAGACAGTGTGTGTGAGTCCTGAGGGAGGGCTATATAGACATCAGCTGCAGTTGATGGTTAGACACTATACATACCCAGCTGAGGCTCACCGTACAGAGACAACTCCAGCCTGGAAACCATGACAACTATGTCACTCATGAGCTGGAGGAGCCTGGGAGCCAGTGGCGATCCTGGCTCACATGGTGCCCGCTCCCAAACTACATAAATATAAATCAACAATGTACATAAAGGAATGGTACTGTACATACTGTACTGTATACCTCTGCTTGCTAAAAATAAGACAAATATTACAAATAAAGTAGAGATATTACAGATCAATGATTAAAAATAAAGATAGAATAATGCAATTAAATACAAGATAAAAGTTACAGTTTTTTTTTTAAATAAACCAATTAAAATTGAAACGTTTATTAGTGGATACCTAATTGGAACTTTATTCTGAAACTTGACTAAATTGCAGGAATAACGCATTTTTGTAGGCCAAAACCCAGAAACCAGTTTCATCGTTCTGAAGTCAATGTTTTTTGGGTTAAATGCCTGAAATAAGGTATGTGGTTAAAAGAAGCTCAAGATAGTTTCATGTTTAAGTCTACAACATAAAATACATCGGTATTACCTCCTTGTGATTCTTTTAAAGCTTTTACTTTAAAGGGTGTTACTAACAAGTGCAGGTAAACTCATCACCTTACTAATCCACTTTTACAGCCATGTATAGTCTTTTTAATTGCACTCTTGCAACTATTCTAACTCAAAAATTTTCCGTGGCATAGTTCGTTTATAGCCTACGTTTAGCTTTTTACTTCTTGTGATTGTATTTAGGCTTTAAAATTCATAAAAGTTAATTTGTGAAGATTATCATGATGAACATTGTAAAAATCAAACTTTTGATGAACACAACGTATATTTATATAGAAATCCAAAAGACTATGGAAAAATCCTATTTTGGATTTTGTTGAGGGAACCAGGGTGATGCTAACTTTCAGGTTGACCTACAAAAATACAATCACTGCAGCACTCTACAGGGAAGGTGCCTTTTTTCTATTTTATTTCTATATAATCTAATTTCTTATTTTGATGGTGCAGACAGTGAGCAGGAAAAGCAAAAGCGGGTGGGAAAGCAGGAAGGTTCTTGGAAAAAACACATTGGGTCACAATTGGAGGTGGCAGGTGGAATGAAGGGCGACTGCAATGTTGTGAGACTGTCATAGATGAGTGACAGAGAAGTGGTGTGCATGTCTGAGAGTTGTGCTCCTGTATCACCAATGTCAGGATCCAGCCCTGCAATAACATTCATGTTTTTTTTGTGTGTTTGTGGCCAAAACTCAAGGCAAAGGCATCATAAACCTGGCTCTTGTGGGATGGAAAGGCTCTGACTGCATCCAATCAAATTCGTACAGTGACTGTGTTTATGTGTGTGTAAAGTGAATGCCAGATATTTTAGGAGTATAGAACCACAGCGAAGAGCAAATAAACGCTTTTGTCGAACTGAATGCACCAACATTTGAAGGAAAACGTGTGTGGATTTACAATACATTTCCAAACAAATCACAACAACAGAAACCATAGTCTGCTTAAACACAATCAACAATATGTTTTCATGTCTGCCAACCTGGAGATTAAACATTAAGTGTTGAATAAAAAAGAAAGAAAGCATTTTTTATATTTTTTAAATATTAATATTTACTGTTTAATACAATAAAATAACCAAATTTGATAAATCCATAGAAAATCCACATACTTTTTCCCCCTGTAAACCACAGTTATTTGCTCTTTGCTGTGGTTGGATAATTCAGTAACACTTTACAATAAGGTTTCATTTGTTAAAATTAGTCAATGTATTAACTAACATGAACTAAGGATGAGCAAAGCATTTGTTACTGTATTTGTTCATCTCTGTTAATGTTAGTTTATAAAAATACAGTTGTTCAATGTTTGTTCATTTTAGTCCACAGTGCATTACCTAATGTTAAAATACAACTTTTGATTTTAATAATGTATTAGTAAATGTTGAGATTAACATTAACAAAGATTAATAAATGCTTTAGAAGTGCAGTTCATTATTAGTTCATGTTAACTAATGATACCTTATTGTAAAGTGTTACCGACAATTATAAAACATCTGACACTCACATTACACAAGCATAAAAACACATGGATACAGTGACAGTCATACCCTTTCTATCCCACAAGGCATCAGTTATGACCAATTTATGCAAAAAAATCTATGGTTCACATACTTTTCCTGGATCATCTTAAAGTGGAGAAAAACAGTAAATTTACTTTTCTGTTCCCAAAGAGGACCAAAAACAACAGTTTAAAAAAGCACCTTTAGCAGTCGGTCTGAAAGCAGGCTAATCTAGCTATTATGATTACATATAAGTAATAGTGTTCGAGAGGTTTCAAAGGAAATTAAATTTGAACAGTAAGCCAGAAGTGTGGTTATGCAACACACATCATACCATGATCGGCTTCTCCTCTGCTGTATTGCTGCTGTCAGACCGGCATAGGGCTGAGAGAGAAAAGAAGAGAGCTGGACGAGGGAAAAGAATGAGGAGGGGAAAGAAAGAAAATACGGGAAAAGTGAAGTGCTGAGCAGCTTTCAATCAAACTTGAGCAGCAGGGAAGAAGCTAGAAGCAGGTAAGTGGGGTTCTGCAATGCCCCCCCACCAGTAAATCTATCCATCTCTCCATCCACAGCTCAACACACACACACAAATGCAGATACTATTCAATGGGTCCTTGCGGCTGAAGGCTGATCTGCAGTCTAAACAGAAGCCTGAAAGAGCCTCCTAATGTTACATAACCTCTAAGAACAGAGATTCAGCTCTTCCTTATCCTTCTATCCCTTGCATCCCTGCTGGAGAGGCTTCTTGTTGTGGATTTCGGCGCATAATATCTATGAAACGAATTTTGAAACGGGTCAACCACATTGAAACCGAATCGAGCATTACTGGATGTGGCCAATAATGCTCAATCTCAACAATCAAATCAACCTGCTCCCTTAGATTTTTGAGCCCAGTGGATTTTGAATAATACAAAACAATAACAATTTTTATCTAAAAAAGTATCACGTTTATATATGTATTTATATATATATAAATGCCCGAACAAAAATTATATAAATACACTGCCGTTCAAAAGTTTGGGATCGGTAAGATTTTTAAAGTCTCTTATGCTCACCAAGGCTGCATTTATTTGATTAAAAATACAAAAAACAGTAATATTGTTAAATATTATGACAATTTGAAATAACTGTTTTCTATTTGAATATATTATAAAATGTGATTTATTCCTGTGATTACAAAAGCTTTCTATTTTAGATAAATGCTGTTCTTTTGAACTTTCTATTCATCAAAGAATCCTGAAAAAAAATAGTACATTAACTGTTTTCAACATTGATGATAATAATAATAATAATAATAAACGTTTCTTGAGCAGCAAGTCAACATATTAGAATGATTTCTGAAGGATCATGTGACATTGAAGACTGGAGTAAAGATGCTGAAAAGTCAGCTTTGCATCACAGGAATAAATTACATTTTAAAATATATCAAAATAGAAAACAGTTCTTTTAAATTGTAATAATATTTCACAATATTAATGTTGTTTTTGTTTTTTTTTATCAAATAAATGCAGCCTTGGTGAGCATAATAGGCTTCTTTCAAAACATTAAAATCTTACCGATCCCAAATTTTGAACGGCAGTGTATGTACACACAAAGGTTTTCAGCATTGAAAATTAGAAATGTTTCTTGAGCACCAAATTAGCATATTAGAATGATTTCTGAAGGATCATGTGACACTGAAGACTGGAGTAATGATGCTGAAAATTCAGCTTTGCCATCAAAGGATTACATTACATTTTAAAATTGATTAAAGTGGAAAAGTTATTTTAAACTGTATTTGACAATATTAATGTTTTACTGTATTTTTGATCCAATAAATGCAGTTTTGGTGAGCATAAGAGACTTTCAATAACATTGGGAAAAAATATCAATCCATCTATTTTATACCCCAGTCTACCTGTATCCTAAACGAAAATGAACTAGTAGACCAAGTCTCACACTTACTCTACTCAAGTGGTTAAAAAGTGTTTTTGTCTTTGTTCATGTCTAATCTCACCTAGAGCACCAAGTGAGTCAAAGACTGTCACTAGAGCTCCATCAAAACCAAAATGACAACCCTGGCTGAGACCACCTTTGCTGGAGGCTTTTTGAAGCAGCCCTCCTCAGTAAAGATGTATAGACCTCAAGTGTCTTCCATTTCAAAGCTGAATTCTCTCAAAGTCTGAAAACGCTTTTTGTTCTACAGACACCTTCTCACAAGAACGTCTTTTAAAAGACCTTCGTCATCCTATACTCAAAACTGACAGTGACAGTCAGGAGATGCCAGGAACGGGCACACAAGAGCTGTTTTAACATGAAAGGATTCCCTGGTTGGCAGCGCGCGCTCACTATAACCTCTGTGCGACAGCTTTTTGCTGTCTGTTTGCCAGGAGGCGGCTTTATTGGCTTGGATATGTAATCGTCAATGTGTTTAAATTGCTGTGAGCATCTATTCCAGGTCTGAGAGCTGCTTCCAGAGGACAAGAACAGAATTGTTAATCACATAAATCGCACTGGCAAATTTATCGAGAATAAACTACCAGTTGCTAGACAGCACATGTTCAGAAACACTGTCAATGTGTGAACAGTGCACTGCATATACTGTACACAAAAGTAATCCAATGCACATAGAGAATGGACTCAAGGACTCTGGGAGCCCCTAGATGAGGGCTATTGTGACTAAATGTGATGTTAATCATACATCACATCCATCTCTCTCTCTCGCTACCTAAAAAAGCAGCTGGACTCATCTGTCCTTAGTACTCAAATTATCTCCAGTCATGCCAAGCAAAGAGCCATTATCTTCTCACAATGTGCCAAGGGTCTCTTTTAATTAAATCAGATTTGATGTGAGGGTAAAATAGTTTTTTTTTTTTTTTTAATTTCCTGTTTGTAATCACGTCACCCTGCCAGTGCCAGCGCTTACAATAAACCATTGAGATGCAGCGTGTGAAAGGAAGTCTGACCTGATAAATCAATGAGCCAATCGGAACAGACAATTGGCTGGTAAAATGCAGGATGTCAGCGGAGTGTAAGCAAATCAAATTTCCTGTTAAAGAACAGCTGTGAGATGATGGTTTTTGATGCATTTGTTCTGTGTAGAGTGGGCAGTGTGGAATTTCAGAAAAAAAAAAAAAAACCGGGATATATTCACTAGCCATTGCAATCTAGCTTAAACAGGTGCTAAAAAAAAGTCTCATAGGTATTTAAATGAAGTCATTTGCATTCTATTCAGCACAAACACACCTGTGCATGGAAATACGGTTTTAGGAAGTTTGTAAAAGTCAGTGCTATTTGCTTGCCATAATTAACGTTGTGCTGTTATCGCCCACGGAAAGCAGGCGGTAAATGGGGTTTATTAAAAAGCGATTTTTTGTGTACTTTTTCTACTCATAATGACAGCAGTAATTCATCAAATGATGATCAAATATTGGAGGAGAGCATTATAATGGGGCATATATCTAGACACTGTGTAGCCAAGTGTATTTTCTGCATTTTAAAAAGCCAATCACAATGGAGCGATACCGGCAGTCATACTGTACTATAGCAATGGTTCTCAAGAAAATTCCAAACGGGCCTCAAAATGACCTAAAGTTATTTAAAATAGGGCAACAAGCATTAAAATAAGCTGTAACAACTAAAATGAAAGATATTTCTTATTTTAATTTACCCCCTAAGCAAGGGGTCCTGTATTTATGAGGTTCAAACGTGTGATGTCTTGTCATGTAAATTAATGAAATCTTAAAACTCCATGGGCATTTCTTTTTATAATGAATATCCATTTTTCTAGTCATGCCAAGCTCTAAAATATTTTACTGGGGAGAAACGGAGTATAAAATATTTATTTTAAAATCCTCATCCTTTAACAGTAAATCATGAACAAAGTAATGTAAATTCACTAGTTAAAAAGAGTGGGAACCTTCAACATTCACCAACATTCAGATCTTCAAACTTCTGAAATCCTTACATTTAATATTGTTGTGGACAATGGGAGGCCTTGGAGTCAGAAAGATTAAGAACCACTTTACTAAAGTATATCAAATTCTCGGTATACATCTGCATCTTTCACAATCTAATATTCAGAAGCAACCCACGAGATTGTAAATTCGGCATGCATATAGCATTCAATAAAAACTTTATGGCCTTATTTGCTTAATTCCTTTAGTGAATCGGGTGCAGCACAACAGACGAATATGTCACTATCAGTGTAATTTCTTTATTTAGCATGCATTCATGGAATTTGAAAGTTTGATTGCCGTGGCTTACTTGAGTGACAACTCAAAATGGCATGTATCTTTCATCGATGTAGGAAAATACAGTGTCATATAGAGTTCATACAGTTGATGGTTACTACATGTGTATTATTGAGTTAGTGTGTGTGTGTGTGTGTGTGTGTGTGTGTGTGTGTGTGTGTGTGTGTGTGTGTGTGTGTGTGTGTGTGTGTGTGTGTGTGTGTGTGTGTGTGTGTGTGTGTGTGTGTGTGTACTCACTGGCAGAAAGGCAGTAAATGCAGTAAGGTCTCCTTTGTGGGCTGGGCAGTGAATTCAGGCAGTGTCTGGATCAGTTTATTCATCACCATACGCAGATACGACTGCAGCTGTTTCCTCCTCTCCTCTACAAACTTGGCATCCTGCAAATTCAAACACATACACATTATAATCAAGTACTTTACATAGTGTGTCTATGTAAAGTACTTGATTATAATTTTAACTGTAGTGTGTTATTTGATCATTACAAATGTGTAATTAAATGTGAGATTAAATAAAGTGTGAACGTAAAGAGAAAAAAAGGATGTGGCAGATCCTAGTCATGTGCAGCAGGTCTTAAAGTAACAACAGCCTTAAAAACCTGCTGCTGTCTGTCATTAATGTAAATCAAAGAACAAAAGACATAGAAAAAAAATCACTCACTGCTCTTGACTGAATAACTCCTGTACCTTTAATAAGGATTAATCTATATTCAATTTAGAATTTATGCAGTGAATACTGTGCAGTGTTTATTAAATGCACAGATACAGAAATTATTCAAGAAATGATTACATTTCTGTATATTTACCTACCTGAAAATCTTAAAGCACTATTTACAAGGGTCAAAATCGATGAAAACAATAACTTTTTGTGCATTTTAGCAGGGCAGGTAAAAATCTGAACTGGCCGGACTGGGCCAGTATAGAAACAAAACTTAGTATTGAATATTAAATAAATTAAATGTTTAAAGCCTATTAAATGTTACAAATTATAGCTTTCAATTATACTGTAATGTTGAATGGCTATAATTAATGGCTAAAAGAAAAACATAGCGCTTAGTAAAAAGATACAATTGAACACATATTTTAAATATAATGTCTTTATGTTGTTTCTACATTATTTGGAGATTCAATGTGAAAGTTTTACAATATAAAAATTAGGGCTGTCAACGTTAACGCATGCGATAAATTTTTCGTCCAGTCTAACGCGTTAAAATATTTAACGCAGCATCCATTATTTTTTGTCATCCTTTGGCTAGCTTTACATTATATGATGCCACTCTTATTCATACAAATGCTTTTAAACCATTTAAGCGTGACAAGACAAAAGAGAATGGACTGCCTGTGAATGACCTGTCTATGTGACACACACACACACAATGCACAGAAAGACGCGCGCCAGTATCGTGCGCACAGACAGCGCGCCAGAATAGTTCTCTTTCGCGCTTGAACGAACAATAACACACAATTATGCCAAATGTCCGTTTTGTCAAGTATCCTCATAACATAAGAACAGTCTTAAATGAGTTAAAAAAAGTCTTAAATGAACGTAAAGAGTTGTGAGAGAATGAGACGCGTGTGAGATCAGCGTCTCTATCAGCAGCGGCAGGTCTTAAAGTGACAGTAGCCAATAATTATGTCTGTCAGTAAACTAAATCAAAGAACAAAGGTAACAGAGAAAATCCTCACTGCTTGAGTAAAGAACTTTTGTAGCTTTGATAAGGATTAGTCTATATTTAATCTATAATATATGCCTTGCAGACTGTTTGATAACTTAATTCAATTTCTGTATATTGTTCTGTTAGACAGGTAAGAAGGGCACAGGTAAATATGACATTAATTAAGGTTTATGTGAGGATTGTTTAAAGTTCACTTAAATTTCAAGTTATATTTTTTGAAGCCTAATAAATGTAAAAAAAAATGTATAGCTTTCAATTACACTGTAATGTTCAATGGCTATAATTAATTTTTCAAAATTGGGGGGGGGGGGGTCATTTTCATGGAGACAGAGCTATATTAGCTGTATTACAATTTCATGACATAGAGCTGTATTAGTATCAGTGATACTGACCTTAATTCATAAAAAGATGCCATTAAACAAGTATTTAAAATATACTGTCTTTATGTTGTCTCTACATTAATTTGAAGATTAACTGTGAAATGATTACATAATAAAATATATCAACTAAATATAAACCTATAAAAGCTGTGTTTTTAATTGTGATTAATCCCGATTAACCACAGAAAAAAAATATGATTAATCGATTGACAGCACTAATAAAAAATATTAAAAACTTTCATGTTTAATTAAAACTGACTCATTAATTACAAAAATATTTTGATTATTTAGTTCAAATTTTTTTATCGATTGACAGCACTAATAAAAAAATGAACATTCTGTTAAATTTCTCCTATCGTGTTCCATATGAAGGTGAGAACATGATTATGATTCATCCAAACATGACAATATCCCTTTAAAAGTCTGTTTCATAAGGACCTGCATTGAATTTACAGCATCAAAACATCAGCATCGCGACTGTACCCAGCATATCAAGCTGATGGATAACCAGATCAAAGTCTGTGCTGTGGTGGGGGTGACATCAAAAGCAAATGAGATAGAACAAGGGACAGCGGGAGAGAGATTGAAATGTTACTAATGTCCCCTATATGACTGATTAATTGGGCCTGATGCTCCAGTTCTTGCATCTTTACGCGTGTGTGCATGTGACATCAGTCATGTCTCACGTGCTGAGGGGAAGTTGACTCTAAAATGCTCTGGCATCACCCACTCCATTAGAGGGGCAATGGCTCAATCACCCAACAATAATAAAGAGCGTTAGAAAGTGTGTGTTTGTGTGCCATCTAAACCACTGTCACCCCGCATTTTAGCATTAGTGTGTCATCAGGGCATGAAGTTCTAATAGTGATCCATCTCCAACAGGCATGAAGAGCATAAAAGTTGATTATGATATGGGATATGTGGAGGAGATCACTGCTGTCAGATTAGCTTACCCATGAGGGCTGTGCCTGCCAGGGCTAATTTAATGCTCTGGCCCACGTCATCTCAGAACTCTCTTTAAAGGTGAGAACCATGACATCAAGTACAAATCTATGCTCTTTGTGCACTTTACAACAATAACATCAAGTGATATTCACTATAAAGTACATTAGGGGGTCTTCAAACTTTATCAGGCCAATGACCCCTTAGAGCAGGGACCACCTGTTTCACAGTGTATTAAAAGTTGCATTTTAAGCCTGACCTAAAAAAAACATGCATACAGTACCATATATATGTATTTGCATACTTTGTTATCATGGTCACATTGTACAAATATCAAATCAATCTATCCATCGTACAAGTATACATATACAAAATATAAATGTATAAAAATGTATAAAAACTGCAACAACTTAAGGTTGGTAAGATTTTTTTTTGTTTTTATTCCAAGTATACATTTACAAATTCTAAATGTGTAAAAACTGCAACGACTTAAGGTTGGTATGATTTATATAATGAACAAATATAATCAATCTAATACAGTTTTTTTTTTTTTAAAGAAATCCATCTAATAAGCCATATATCTAATCATATATCTAATATGGCAAATAAACTTTTTCAAGATCCTTTGATTAATATACAGTTCAAAAGAAGAGCTTTTATTTGAAATAGAAAACTTTTGCAACATTATAAATGTCTTTACTGTCACCTTTGATGAATTTCATCCATACTTGCTGAATAAAAGTATGAATTTCTTTCAAATAAAAATCTTACTGACCCCAAACTTTTGAAAGAACAGTGATGAATAAACTAATGCACACAGCTACACCTAACAGGATAAACTGACTCAAGTGTGTTAGTCTCCTTGAATAGAGACGTGAGAGAGAGAGAGAAAAGAAACCCAAACCCCTTCTAAAGCATTCCTAGTTTGAGAATGTATTATGCTACTAATTGGATTCTATCAAGATAACAAGATACTAAAAAACCCTTTTCACCAAGGGACCAAACACCTTGATAAACAAGCCAAGCACACGCACACATGCTCTTATGGCAAGTGGATTTAATAACTGATGTTTTAAGCTGTTTATGAGTGCAGCTTCACCAGGACCTTCAGAAGATCTGTTAAAACAAACACCCGCTTGCAATTCATGCAAACAACTTGTGGCAAAACCAACAAAGTGCTTCACAATCTCTTAAGAGAATGAAAATGTGCAAATTATTTTCTCAGGCTTCTGTCTTCGGGCCAGTTTTGTTTCTTTCCATAAACGATAGGCTCCTCTCCAAATTCCTCAAAGCACAGTTCTGCTGATCGTCTGTGTCTGACAGCGACAGGCAGTGAGACAGAGAAAATCACAGCCAGACATTACCATTATAGCCAATAAAGACTTGCTGGGGTGCTTCTCCATCTTCAGAGGCTATTGTCTGGACCAGCTGGACTAGCTGTTGCCACACAATGAGTTGTGTTCGCTTTTGTACAAATCACATGTGCAGCATGTATGGACGTGTGCAGATTTGAATGAATGAGACACGTTGTCAAAATGACAAAGTGTGAGGGTGATTCAAGTTGGTACAGCAAAACCCATCATACTCTCCCTGAGAATTAAACAGTTATGACTGAAAGAGGAGATTTATCACGCTGACCCTCCCACTGAAGGTTGCTGTAAAAGTGGTTGTACGGGGAAAGAGCCTCATTCATCCTACAAATAATAACAGATGGAACATATTTACTCTAGCTTAAATCCTTTTGATTCTGTAGTAAAGCAGTAGCCACAAAATTAGATTTTCATCAAGATAATCAAACATTTAAAGCATATCTGTAGTAATCAACCAGGTATGATGTGAGAGGTTATTTACATATTTTCCAGACCGTTTAATCCAAATGACTTACAGTGCATTCAGGATACATTTTGTAAATAAAGTAATTTTTTTCTATGATATCGTATTTTAGTTCATGTTTATTTTATTTCAAGGAGCGAAAATGTTTTTTATGCTTTTAGTTAACTATAATAACCCTAATAAGAAGCAAGCAATTCATGAGAGATCATGTATTTGCTGTGTTCTCTTTCCACATTTCTTGTGCTTTTTGTCACAAGAAAAAAAACATTGCAAGCATCAGGCATGTTGCATATGCATACAAAATGCAGGAGTCATAATTTATTCACTTTGAATAGTGAAAGCAGAAATGGCAAACACTGCATTAATGAGAACAGGGCAGATCCTCCTGGGGCTGTCATCTTTAATGCAAAGATAATGTGGAGTTCAATTAAAGCTGTGCCCAAGAAGCCCGAAGAGACAACAGACTGTCTTCTATATTCTGCGCCTCCCTCAACCTTTTGTTTAAGCCAAATGGTGGGAAATCAATAATATATGATGCAGGTAGCCGGTA